CTTGGCTCCTGGGGGCATCTCCTTGTCCCCAGTTGCTCAGGGGCCACTGGAAAGGAAGCCTCCTCAGCTCACTTAGCGCTGGGACCCTGAGGGCCTGAGTGCAGGCGTCCACAGAAATTTCCGTGTGTCTCCTCTGCAGCACTGAGCTCCACCAAAGGAGCATGGGGTGTTTGGTGCCAAAACCTTCAGGTAACAACACCTGAGAAGATTTGGGACAGCAAGTGATCCGCGGAAACTACCTGACTAACATCACCTGCAAGACTCCACGTGGTGTTGAACACTCGCTTGATAAAACCCAGTGTGATGCTGGGATTTCTAAGCTCATTTCCTCTCACATTTACAAAAGACCTTACAACAAAAGACCTTACAACATATTTTCCTGTTTTCTCTCCTTTGACCCTGTTTATTATAGAGGCTGGGCTACTTGACTGTATAGATGAGAACACTGGAGTCTGAGAGCGGAATGACTTACAGAGGTTGTGGTGGATTTTCTCGGAGGATCCAAGTCTTTGATGACTTTCTGGCCAGCTGAGGGTCTATATTCAGTGTGCATCTCTGCAATGCAATCCAAGGCAGGGTCACTACATGGGGGATTTTTGGTGCCACTGGAACCCGGAGTCAGAACCAGGAGAGCAGCGGTGCCCGTGAACACAGAATGTCCGTACATAGATAACTTTTACCCATTACCTAGGACTTAAAAGCAAGCGCTTCTTAGTATGTTAGTATTTATCCAGCATTGTACTTGTGTGTGTGTATATGTGTGTGTGTGTGTGTGTGTGTGTGTGAGAGAGAGAGAGAGCGAGAGAGAGAGAGAGAGAGAGAGAGTTCAAACTTGGTCATCTGGACAAAATAACCCCCAGATGGTCAGCTCCCAACCCCCGTAACCATCTTCCCCTTATGTGTTCTGTCTTCTTTGATTTGCTCTTACAGAGGATACTCAGGCTGGATTGTGCTCATGAATATTCAAGCCATTGGAAAAAACAAATTCGTGTTGTAAAAAAATAAAATGATGTCTTGTTTATATATTAGCCTTTGGTGTATGAGTCTGGTTAGTCTGAGTCAGTTCCTGTAAACCTGAAGTTTTTTGAGTCCTGTGGAAAGCAGTTCTGGCCGTCCATGCGGAGAGTCCACCCGCACAGGGTCCCATAGCACACTGCCTTCTTTGGAGGGCTAGAATCATAGCCTCTCATCATGCCTTTTCTGAGTGGTGTGTGGCTATCCTCTTCTTTGCCCAGGAGAAGCTGTTTCTCATGTTACTTATCTGTAATTGCAGTCTAAGTTGAAGGGTATGGAAGGCAAATAGAAGAAATTCTATCCTGGAAGTAGATGTGGGCTATTAAAACTAGATTTTCAGTCAAGGGACCCAGAGAGCAGTGTGTTTAGAGAACTAGAGCTGGGAAATTTTTTTTTATTGATGAGAGAGGAAGAGAGAGAGAGAGAGAGAGAGAGAGAGAGAGAGATAGAGAAACATCAGTGTAAGACAATATGGGAGAAACATTGATTGGCTGCCTATCGATGTAAGAGAAAAACATGATCGGTTGCCTTCCCTGGGATGGTATGTGCAACCTGGGTATGTGCCCTGACCAGGAATTGAACCCACCACCCTCTGATGTGTGGAACGACGTTCCAACCAACTGAGCCGCACCAGCCAGGGCTAGAGCAGAAAATTATTGTTTTGACTATCATATAAGCCAGTAGAGACAAAAAATCAACTTACAAGTATTTGAGCATATTTTATTTGATTGCAAGGACTTTTTAAAAGCCAGTATAGGTTATGCTTATGCTGTGCTAATAATTCCCAAATTTCAGTGGTTTAACATAGAAATATGTATTTTTGCTCTCACAGATCTACCTAAGTCAGGAGGGAAAGTGCATGAGGGGAGAGCTCTGCTCCACCCACTCACGTAGGGGCCCAGGCCGATGACCCCACCACCTGGAGTGTCAGCTATGGCTGCAACAGGGAAAGGAGAAACTGGAGGAGCATGTCGGGGCTTTTAACATTATTTGCTCTAACATTTCATCAGCAAGAATATTAGTCCCATAACCTCCCTGTTTCGGGGGTTGGGAACATAGTCTTCTGTGGGTCCATCCAGGCACAGGCACAGGCACGCCACAGAGCCTGGGTACCATCTCCGACATGATGGCCAGCGTGGGGGAGGGAAGGGCAGCATGTTGTTTCTTACACATCACTTAGTCTCTGTCTGAGATGTCCCACCGTCCTGCCAATTGACTAGATCAGAAACTTTCTGATTAATATTCTATTAAGACAAGCCAGGGAGTTGATACCCAGAAGCCATTTCTATCTAATTATTTCATAAACACAGAGTAAGTTCTCTCTTATACTCTGTCTCTACCATGATAAGAGCCCAATTCCTAAAGGCATCTTGCAGGGAGAGAGGTGGGGACTAATGTACTCAGACTCCTTCCCTTTGTTGTTGACTCTATTGAGTTTAGAGACACCACTTAATCACTTGCTATTTAAGAAAAATAATATAACCCGAGTAACTTTCCTTGTCCTAGTCTCCTGCCTTAACTGACAACACAGCTCCTCCGGGGCCCTGCGGAGGGTGAGGGGCCAGCAGAGGAGGGAGCGGAAGTGCCAGTGGTTCCAGACATTTCTCACCAGTGGGTGTGCTGAGCTAGACTCATTTGAAGAGACTAATATGGGATGAACAGAGAAAAAATTGTGGGGGTGGAGAGCTCTTTAGGCCCTTATATTTTGGGGTGAGAACAAAATTCATAGTGGTTTCTGATACCCACAGAGTAAAACACCATTTTTTTCCAGGAAGCAAACCTGACAAAACCTTGGCCAACCTGGTGGGGGCTCTGGAATGCGAGTTGCCCATCAGTGTTGTCCTTGTCGGGTCACACTGCCCGTGCCGCTGCCCGCACCACCTCAGTCCCTGCCCGGCCACATTCGGCAGGAATGACTTCTGCACACACTCCTGGCCGGTGAGCACCCACTCACTCCTGGAGGGGTCCATTCACCCCAGCTCTGTGCCCACAGCACTTCCTGCTTTAATTCTTACCTCATGAGGGACTTGGAGACCTGGCAGCTCACAGGGTTAGACTTGAACCCGGCAGGTGTGTCTGCTCAGATGGAAAGCTGGGGTGGAAGCAGCTTAGTAAGGACCCACTGCTCCCCTCACTGGCTGCTCACTGAGGCATTGGCAGGGAGCTGTGTGTGTCCTGAGTCCTAGGGGAACCATGGGACCTCAATATTCATCAGGAAGTGCCCCAGGTAACAGGGAAGGAGAATCTGTTGGTGTGGGAGGGGAACTGAAATTTATTACTCAAGGGTGGTGAACACACAACACAGGTGATGGAGTGCTGCATTCTGGGTACTCTATTCTACATAATTTCAGAGTTGCCTAGAAGCACTATGAATGTGTATTAATTCCCTCACTTTGCAGAGGAAAGATCGAGGCTCACAGAGGTTAAAGGACTTTCCCAAGGCATTGTGACGGGAGGCTGAGCTGGAAAGAAGGCCATGGGGCAGCGTCTGCACAGGGCCGCTCACCACTGCGTCCCTGCCCCAGCAGGTGTGTAGCTTGGAGCAGATGACCAATAAATATTTGTTGACTGAGTGATGGGTGGCAGAGCAAGTACCCAAGAATCACATTTGTATCACTTTAAATGTAGGCCTTTCCTTCTTATTATGGGAAATACATAGCATTCAGGAGAAGTTGTGAGATCCAAGATTAAAACACACACGTTTTAGTTTGATCAGAAAACACAACCTGTGGTCTGCCTTCCGCACCACGATGCTTCCCTGACCCTGGTCGCCATGGGCAGAGGCAGCTGTGTGCAGTGGAGGCAGGACTCAGCCGAGCCAGGTGTGGGAGGGAACCTTTCAGGGGCGGGGCATGGTCACAGGATTACTTGTCACCCATCACCTGCATTCATTTTTAGAGGATGGTTGGAAATTCTAGGTTTCAGGAACCAATTGTGATTGATGAGGTATTAGATGAATTTTAAAAAATATTTTTATTGATTTCAGAGAGGAAGAGAGAGAGAAACATCAATGATGAGAATCACTGATGGGCAGCCTCCTGCACGCCCCGCACTGGGGACCGAGTCTGCCATCCGGGGAAGGGGCCCTGACAGGAATCGAACCATGACTTCCTAGTTCATAGGTTAATGCTCAACCACTGAGCCACACCAGCCGGGCTGGATGAGTTTTAGCCAAATCACCTGATCCATGATGCTCAGAGTTATCGGCCTCCTCCCAATCCCCCTCATTCTGAAAGAAAGCTCACTCCTTAAAGCCTGAGGCATCGCTCCAGCACAGCGCACCTGCTGGGGTTTCAGATCTTTTTGCAAGAAGTGGAGGGAAGGCAGTATCAGAACAGAACTGGACATCTGGCCTAGAGTTTGCCTTCTGGATTCAAGAACCAGACAAAGGGTGAGTTTTCTGACCTTAGTTCCTGACCAGGTTCTTACTGAGCTTGTGGTTGGGGCCACAATAGACCTTATTGTGTCCAGAGGCTTTTCAACGGCTGTGCTGACCTACATTGCCAAGGGTCACCAATAATAGGATTTGCCCCTCGGAAGCTGGGACTGTCTTATTCAAAATTCCCAAGGTAATTCCTTACAGAGGAACATGGCTTCCGTTCACTGCTAGTTCTGGCCCTTCTGGACTCGCATGCAGCTCAACCCTCCTGTGTGCCAGGACCTGCCAGCACAGAGGAGACGTTTGGCAGGTGTGCTGTGCTGGCCAGAAGCCGAGGGCTGTGGGGGTCGGGGCTCCTCTGGGGATACTTTGGAGTGGGAATGAGCCTAGAATTTTCAGGAAATCAGCAAAATCTCTAGGAGACCCATTCTAGTTGGCACTGAACTTTGATGAGCTGTGAACTTTTACCAAAATAGGTCTAACTCTTTTATTTCAAGTGAATAATATTTCTTCTAATTCACACACCTAATGCCAGGATCCGTCTGGTCCCAGTTCTCTGATGTTCACCTTAAAGCTTGTCTGTTTCTCATGAAGGACTCTGCAGTGCATGCCCAGCTCCTTGGGAGAGATCCCAGGAACCTCCCCGAAGAGTCCAGGCACGTGAGGATTGAACATGCGTCCTTGTTTGAGCTGCCCTGAGGGTCAGCACGAGCACCATGGAATAACTTGGGCTAATTTAACAACGTCGCTGTGGTCCACCGGGGAGCCTTGGAGTACCTGTCAGAAGTGAACGAGCTGAGACTGGAGGGGAACAGACTCTGTTCAGTACCATGGGCAGTGTTCCATGCCACCCTGGGCCCAAGGGTCTTGGATCTCATGCACAACAGGACTGACATGCACCCTGGGCTGGCTCTTCAGTTATTGGCCCACCTGGTCTACCTTGACCTGTCTTCCAATAGCTGGCAGTGGTATCCAGGAGTGTCTTCTTGAACTGGCCTGCCTACCAGCCCTGCCAGCTTGCTGGATGTGGGGCCCAGAGTCTCTCCAGCATGGGGCTGGCTCTACAAAATACACCCTGGCTGGCAACTGTCGCTTAAGCGGACTATTCCAGGTTGTATAGTCCACTGCCTCCCGGCGGTCTTGGTGAGTGCCTACCTGATTGCCAAGGCCCTCTCTCCAAGGTGGGGCAGTTTTTCCATGAAACTGAGCTCAGCACCTGCATGAGCCCCACATCTCAACCCCCAGTGTCAGTGTCACCATCAAGGTGGGACAAAGTGTAAACCTGTGATGCCTGGCACAAGCCAGCCCTTTGCCAACCATTACATGGACGGAGCCCCTGAGCATGTGGAGGGAAATGTGCCCTCTTGATGTGTCTGGGAGGAGGGGAGGTCTGCAGCCACCTTATCCTCAGTAGAGAGGCTCTAACCTGGGGGCAGGGAAGATTGGGACAGGCCTGAACTGCACACACCACAAGAAGGGAGTGGGCCTGTCGGTAGTGTTTTAAATGGTTGCATACAGATCTCTAAGAGATAGATATATTGGAGTTGACAACATTTATAATAATAAACGCATAATAGGCAAATCGACTGAACAGTATAACACAGGGGTGGGCAAACTTTTTGACTCGAGGGCCACAATGGGTTCTTAAACTAGACCGGAGGGTCGGAACAAAAGCATGGATGGAGTGTTTGTGTGAACTAATATAAATTCAAAGTAAACATCATTACATAAAAGGGTATGGTCTTTTTTTTATTTCAATAGTTTTATTCATTTCAAACATTTTAACAAGAAGAATGTAAACACTAATTATTATAATTTGAAACTTCAAAAAATGGAGGAATCATAGCACAATAACATACCTTATATTGAAGATGGCAAAGGCAAAATAAAATTGCCTAACAAAGGAAAGGTACAAAAGCCTTTCAAATTAAACTTAAATATAATAAAATAATTTAAAACTAAAACAAATAGAAAAGAACAAAATGTGTAAACAGTAAATTAAACATTTTCTTTAGTGCAACTTCCAAATTATGCCCGGGACGTAGATGTAGATGGCAATGTAGACTGGGTTGAAAGGTTTTTGGTCTTTAAAACATCAACTTCAGTGGGAACAGTGTTGTTGGTCTCCTTTTTTATCTAATGCACCAAAGTCTGGAGTTAGTTTTGTTGTGGCTATTCTCAGGATAGATCTGAAGATTTTGTTAGTTAAGCTGGATCTGTGAGGGGGTTTGTTGATGTTCATTATGCTAAATGTTTGCTCACAAACATAGGTTGACCCAAACAGCACCAGTATCTTTTGTGTCATCCTCCGGATGTTTGGAAAAGTGGCTTCATTAAGTGAAGCATAAAAGTCTCTTAGTTCAAGAGAGCTGAATTTCTCCTTTAGGACAAAGTCAGACTGAAGATCGATGAGTTCCAGTTGCACCTCTTCTGGTGCTGTTTCAGGCTTTTGTGACAAAGGACAGGCCACCAGTTGTC